ACAGTGCTGGTATTAACTTCAGGAACAACGCAATGATATCTGCTCTATTTCTATTCAACATTGTATTGAGCATCATAGAAAATAAAATAAAAGACAAGTCAGGGCTAAAGAAAAAAGATAAAGTAAAATAAAAGAAGGAACATATTTAGATAGGAAGGAAGAAATAAAACTGGCTTTATTCATAGATAACATGATTGTAGAAAATCTAATGATGGAATCTATAAAAAACATAATAGAACTATTGAGTGAGTTTAGATTAGGTTGCAGAATAAAGATTAAAATATTAAAATATTAAAATATTTTAAAATATTAAATAAAATATTAAAATATTAAAAAATTCAATTGTTTTTCCGTATACTGGGCACAAATAGTTGGAAATCAAAATTTTTAAAAATACCATTTGCAATGGAACAAAAATATGGAATAATTTAGTATTGATAGAAATATGAAATAAATTTGACAAAGATGTGCTAGAACTATACATGGAAACTGTAAAACATTGCCATGTGAAATTAAAGAAGAACCAGATAAATGGAGAGATGTATTGTGTTCATGGGTCCAAAGATGCAATATTTTAATATGCCAGTTCTCCCCAAAATGATTCATGGTGTTGAAGCAATCTCAATCAAAATTCAGCAGATTTTTTTTGTTTAGAAATTGACAAGCTGAATCTAAAATTCATAGGGAAATGAACACATCTAGAATTACCAAAACAAATCTGAAGAAGGATAAATTTAGAAGACATAGACTACTGAAATTTAATACTCATTATAAAGAAGATCAGTGGTTTTATGAGGACAGTGATAGAAAATAATGGGAAGGAAAGGAAGGAGAGATTATTAAAAAAGAGCACAAGCAAAAAAAAAAAAAAGCACAAGCAAACTACTGAGATGATGGATATGTTTATTATGTTCCCAGTTATGTGTGTGTATATTTGTGTATATACACAAATATTTCATATATATTTTAATATATATGTCAAAACATTGAATCATACAATTTAAATATATAAGGTCTATTTTAAGTTAATCATATCTCGGTAATTTCAGTAGGCACCTCTAATAAATTGTAGATCTCATGATATGCATTTTTGTGTGTCAAGCTTACTTTTTGTGTTATTTTCTTTTTCCTTATTTCAGCATATTATGGGGGTATAAATGTTTAGATGACACATATTGCCTTTGCCCTGCCCGAGTCAGAGGTTCCAGTTGTCCATTCTCCAGATGGTGCACACCGCACCTATTAGGTATGAATATACCCATCCCCTCCTCCCCACCAGCTTGACTCTCAATGAATGTTACTATTATATGTGCACAGAAGTGTTGATCAGTTAATACGAATTTGATGGTGAGTACATGTGGTGCTTGTTTGTACATTCTTGTGATATTTCACATCTCTAATCATCAGGGAAATGCAAATCAAAACCACAATGAGATATCACTTAACTCCAGTGAAGAGAATGGACTTTTATCAAAAAAGTTCCAAAACAATAAATGTGTTGGCCATGATCGCACGAGGATGGACAACATTCATGACACTGGGGGGCTGCAAACTAGTGCAACCTCTGTGGAAAGTAATATGGAGATACCTCAAAGAGCTAAAAGTAGAACTACCATTTGATCCAGCAATCCCATTACTGGGCATCTACTCAAAGGAAAGACATTCTATAAAAATGACATCTGCACTATAATGTTTATAGCAGCACAATTCACAATTGCAAAGATGTGGAAACAGCCCAAGTGCCCGTCAATGCATCAGTGGATTAATAAAATGTGGTATATGTATACCATGGAATTCTACTCAGCCACAAAAAACAATGGTGATCTAGCACCTCTTGTATTATATTGGATAGAGCTGGAGCCCATTGTCCTAAGTGAATTTGTGTTATTTTCTATACAAATTTTGCATTAATTTTATTTTACTTTTCTTTCCTACCCTATTTTACTGTGGTATATATGAAAGACTTAGCAAATTCTTTTTTAAAAAATATGTACAACAATGGTATATTTCAACAGGACCATGAGATGTGATATTTTAGAGGTTAACAAAAGCCTATTTACATATGTCAATTTAAAATGCACCACTAAGAGGACAGTCCATGGGATCATCCCATACTGTACTTTCACCAATTCTTCTAAATTGCCTGATCTCATTCATTCATTCATTTACCAAACATATATTTCTGGTGCAGGATTTGAATAATACAAGTACATGATATTGAATGTACTTGATTTTATATGTTTGATTATAACCGTAGTTTAGCCATTACATGAAAAATTTTAGTCACTAGAAAGTCCTACCAATGTTAGATGTAGAATTTCATCTTCTCTATAACATTATTTTCTTCTTAGATGCTCAGTAGAATAATTTATTTTCAAAATCATCCTGACACAGTCTGACATTTGAGTGGTTTGATTTTATTTGATATATTACACTTTTAAAAAACATAGGATAAATGCCAAATGCCTCTATGAACTTCTGTATTTATAGCATAGAATTATTAATTAAATTTAGCTCTTCATTTGAAAAATAAGTTCACTGGACTGTATCAAGTGGAGTGTGAATTTATCTAATGTAGATTGAAATATAGGAATTACTAAATCTAGTTAACTTTTTATTATGTTTTTTTCTATTTCTTGAAGCAAGCACCTCTGTTGAGAGATTTTTTTCTCCCCAGGCTAAGAAGATTTCTGTCCTTTTAAATTTAGCCTTCTTGGGCATGTTACAAATATTCTACCTTGCTATTTTTCTATTGTAGTGGAGCCAATGCTTCATTTTCTCTGCTTCTCACCTGTTTCTGTCTATTTATTTGTGTATAAGATGTCAAAGGAAAATGAAAAGTAACACCTCAAAATACCACCTTGAAAAAGAAAATGCCAACAAATTCTTTTCTGCACCTGAAGCTTTTAATTCTTTAATCCACCATGGAATGCTGCTTAATTACATATTTTATTATGCATAACTGAAAATTATGTACTTTAGTTTCAACAATGATATGAAAGCATGTATTGTTTATAAATAGAGGCTGGTTTGTCTCTATTTTTTATATTACAAATATTTGTGGAATTCTCACATGTTCTCTTTCTAAAACTTGGCTATTTGAAAATGCTCAGAGAGCTCTGAGAAAAACTTCAAGTTTTAATGTTTTCTCTAGAAATCAGAAAATTCATTACCTTGACAAAACAAGATGATGTCATAACATCATCATGGGCAAAAACCATTAAACAGTTTGAATAATTTTATCGAAGTTTTACCTTAATTTTAATGAGTTTCATAAAATATTTAATGGAAAAATGTTACAATTGTTTAACTGGGCAATACACCTTTGGGAGTTCATGATCTCCCCTTTTTCATGTACTTGAAAATTTTCATAATAAACTTTTAAAAAAATATTTGGTGTGTATAGAGAGATCTTATACCTGGACATAGTTTTGATGTTAATATTTTGTGATGAAGTGTTCCATAGACTTGATTTCAAGTTGATTACTTAGCAATTAACTTTTTCATATTAGCAAAATATACACTTCTGAAAATGTTGAACTGCAATTGGGCTTTTTGGGGGGGTTGTTTGTTTTGCTTTTTTTGCATTTGAGAAAGCTTTTATTAAGGAGAAAATAGAGAAAGAAATGTGTAGATAGAAGACCTGGGTTTGATACTAATGTGGCCATCTAGCTGAGCAAATCAGTTAACCTATTTGCAGTGGGAATGTCAGTGCCTGCCCTCAGCCGTGTAGAGGAGTGGGAAGGTTTAAACAAGATATGTCTGTGACATTCTACAAATGTTTTTTGTTATATTTAAAACATATTTGAGGGCAATGCTAGAAAAGAGCCTCAGAAGGAGAAAGCATTTGTGCTAGGTCTAGCAAAACAAATGTTTGGAAATTAAATTTGGAAACAAGGGTGGGGTGGGTAGGTGTCCCCACCCCACCCTTGGGTAGGCTGTCCCCATGTTAAGACGCTGTCCGACAGGTTTGTACTCTGGAGAAAAGCTCCTTTTGCATCACATTGTCACATACTCAAAAAATTAATGGATATGTTTTAATATTTGAACATTCTTCAACATTCTCATCTAGGAGGTATTGTTGGTTCTTTTGTGAGTCGAAAATCAGAACAGCACATGGGACATAATTTTGGGGGGCCGGGGGTGGATGTAAGGACATGAATTAAAGACTCAGTCAGCATAATGAAAACTTATTTGAAAACTGCAAGAAGTATTTCGGATTGAACTCAGAGTAGAAAATAATGTTAATATTTAACTTTGGTACAAAATATGTCACTTTAGAGTTTGTGTTTACGTTGGAAGGCAACAAATACAATACACTGTTGTACCACATTCCCTCATCAACCATTGTCATAGAGAACAAGGCCCAAGTCAAGTGCTTTTGATCACCGTGGGTATATTAGCAGCTTAAAATAACTGACAAGAAAAGGTGACTTAGTACACAACCTTGGTACAAGACGAGAAGTTGTAATTGAATTTTGGTGTTATTCTTCTGATAAATTTTGAGACATATATGTTCCACATAAGTAGGGTAATATAAGAAAGTCTTAAAAATGTTGCTCATCTTTTAAACATTAATTTCAAACTATTTTTATTTGACATTTGTTAAACAGGTATGGTATTCTGGACATACACCTTCCATCACATTTCTTTAATTAGGGTACTTTATATTTTATTAAAAATGTGCATATTAATAGATTGTAGTTTATCCTTTGTCAAAAGACATGCAAGTATTTAGTATTTACATTAAAAGGATTGCCTCAGAAGAAACACTGAATCCATCATATGCCCCCTTAAAAAGTAAAAAATATTTATTTATAAGGTAGACTATAGTATCGATATTTTCTGATATTTTAGATATAATTAATATTTTTGGACCTCCATTGGTTTTCACACTATCATGCAAATTTCCAACTTTAACACAGTAGCCCTAGTTCTATCAACTGTATTATAGGGAATACACATTTTAATTACTCTTTTTTGAAAATATCAACAGGCAATTCAGAATGTCTCATTTATTGAGAATATTGTGACAATCAAAGATCTTAATCAGCCAGAAGCTAACAATTGGGAATAGGGCAGAATTTAATAGTGGAATGTATAGGATTCTCATTTTAGTCAATCTTGAACCATTTGAAAATGTTTTCTAGTCAAGCTATGTATCTTTAGATAAACACATATATAGATATCACTACTCTGGGAAAGAAAACCCACTTCTTTTTAAGCTCAAAATTTCTTAGTACTAAATGCTAATCAATACACATTTTATACATAATATATACAGACTTTGTTATCAAGTGCCACACAACTAGGGCACATATATTAGTTACCTTGGTTTTCAAAGGTTATGTGTCAACTCTGCATATTGTGTGGCAACGAGATACTATCAACATTATTTTTTGCATGATGTGCAAGTATTATATGGCCACAGAGTGTAATGCAAATTAGTGGCAAAGTGCTGAGTGAAGGAATCCATGACAGATTCAGATGCACAAGGTTGACTATTACCCGTAAACTACCTGACTCTGCTAAGGTCTTAACAGCACAAAGCGCTATGTCATGCCCAGCTTTTAAAAGTCTCTGAAATACTTGGACACAATGGAGCTTTTTACAGGAATTTTACCATAGCCACAGGCAACAAGAGGAGGACAGGCATGAGCAATAAATGACTTTGGGGGAGCAATATGGAAGATCACCTGGGCAAGTCTTTCAAAAATGTGCTATCTTTCCTGAAAACAATTTTGCTCACTCCATCACATATGCTGGGGTTACGGCAAGAGGGGTTAAAATATCAAATTAGCAAAACCATGCTAACTTTAACAACTTAAAAGATCTAAATGAGAATTCTGTTAACATTGTCGTTGGTTCCAATGAACACATTCATCATTTCATCAAAAACATTATTTCAAAAGAATTTAGGAGGTTATTAGGAATGAGAAAATCTTTTTCACAACCCAATTTCTCCTTCCAAAAAAATTACTAAATTTCATACCTATCTGACACCTTATGTTAAGTGTTAGGCTGGTTAAAAAAAAGATTAATTCTACACTCTGCTGTACCTAGTCTTTTCCCTGAGTCTTGGGGAAAAGAAGGAAGAGGAATATAACTTTTTAACTTAATGGTATACTAGTTGCTATTTTATTTTCTATTTTTTAATACATGAAATCTGGTTTCTATTTTCTTAATTCAAATTCCTTTGGCTGAAATGATTACTTTTTTGAACTCTAGCAAGCAAGAACATTTAAAAATTGTTTTCTAGTTTAATAGAATTGGGAACTTGTTTTCAATACAATTTTAAGTTTGCAACAAACCAGCTGCCTTCAGAGCAGCTCAGCTATGCTTCAAAAGTAAATGCAACTTTAAAGCTTTATTGGGAGTTTTCAATGATCCCATTTCAATTTCTTAAGCAAAAGTTCAATACTAAAGCTGCCCTGTTGCCTACCAATGAGCTCATGGGGCCTGAGGAAATGGTAGGCAGAAAGAAAAAGAACAATTACAGAACCACATCTTAAGGAACCCAAAAACCCACCCCTATTAACATCTAGGAAAACTTACAAAGAGAAAGCAAAAGATAAAGTGAATAAAATACCAAAAAAAAAAAAAAAAAAATCATCCAAAACTGCAACATTGGCCTCAATCCTTTCTGTGATCATTAGCACACTTCATTTTATATCCAGGCATTTATTAAGTTTTATGTTGCAAGAATTTTGAAAACTGTGTTTAAATTCCAGGTGTTTCTTCATGTAGTTCTTAAGAGTTATGCCATACACAACCAAATGAGCTCAGAGTTATTAACTTATTCCATCTATAACTTGTTAAAAAAAAAAAAAACGATGCTTACTAGGGGGTTTTTATACAGAAGGTCCATTTTTCTCCCTACTTATTTTCTGTTGCCATTAATGGCTTTTAAAAATATTTGTACATTAGCTTAAGGAAAAGTGTTGCCAAAATTGAAGTATTGTGAAATAAATGCAGATGAATACATTCTAAGCACATAACTGCTAGAGACTGGATTTACCTTGTTGGAGAGTCTTTTGACCATCCTATCTCTGTTTATTAAGCAAAATGTTAACCAAAAACAGGTTATCTTATTGTGAAATTTCATACCTATTTAAAAATGAGCATGTGTTTGTGAATTAAATTTACAGCGTTAAGTGACTTTTCAGTTGCTCTTTTTAAAATCGGTAAAACATCATCAGGTTAAGTATTAACATGCACCTAAATGAGAGGGCCATCCTTTGACTCTTCTTTAAAGTTATTTCACATAAGCAGACAAACCCTACTATGTCATACCATACAAACAATTTTAATTGTGTAGTTACAGTCAATAACCACTCCTAATCAGAACATTTCTGCATAAAGAAAATTGTGATACACTTATAAAAACAGCCAGCTGTAACAAAATAGCTGGTGTTTTCATAGCCATAAACTCATAAAAAAGAAATACACCTTTATACAGAAATTTTATACAGATGTAGCTTTAAAATTGATTGTAAACCAAAGGAAGACACATTGCAAACATCAATTATTTTCACATTAATTGCATAATTTTCTAAGGTGATCTATTAGTTTTATTTACCTAAGCTTATTTGCATGATAGTAAAAATTGCATACAACAATAAGAGTGAAGCTTATAGTATGAATTGCTTGGATAACATAGAGCACTTTTTATAGGCAACTGTGTAAAGCACATTTTCTCTATTTAAAACTTTTAAGACACTTTGTTTTACTGCCCATCAAAATACATTTATAAATAGAAAAGAATCAGTATGGTAACAAGAGAAGCAATATTACATTTAACGGAAACTTCCAAAAAATTAATTACAACATGATGCTGCAGGATCTACAAATAAATAATGAAGACTAAATTGTGTTTCACATTTTCTTTTCCTTTTTTTTTTTCTTAAAAAAATCATGTAACAATGAGAATGAAAAAAAAATTACAGTGAACTTTTATTTCCAAAATAAAAACAAATTTGAATTACGGCAGTGCCATATAATACAAGGCATTTGTTGGCATATGTCATCTTTAAACTGCATTCCACAGTCTATAGTTCTTTTGTAACATACAATAGAGTAACAAACTCTTTTTTTCTTTTTCTTTTTTTAAAATAAGGGGCGAGTTTCCAAAGATCAGTGTGGAGTGCTACAGAAATAATTAAAGGAGAGGAAATCATAATCACAGAAATTATAATGCTTGTTTGAGGCTCCAGAATAATAATAATTAAAAAAAAATCACTGGTTTCATGCTTACGGGGTACACACATTGGTGCGTCCCGTGAACACAAATTTTAATACCAAACAATCCTCGATGCTTCACCTGGGGCTGCCAAGCAGTTTGTAAAACAGAGTAAAACATTTAGTGCAGTCTGTATTATCCTTTCCCAACTTTTCTGTTTGTGCAAGTTTCTGAAGATTCATTGGCCAAACAATGAACAACAAAGGTTTTCTGAGAGAATACAAGGTGGACTTTTCATTTTGTTAGTAAATACCAGTGGCACTGTTGAACAAGAAAATAATACTTTTGTCTCAGTCTTTCAAATCAGCGTTAATGTCTGTATTTCCCTCCACTGACAGCTCCTCTTCTAGTTTCACCGAAAAAAGGGTGTTAGCATTTTTATCTTGGACACTCTCTTCTAAATCCTTAAGCAACTCCTCTTCTTTGTACTCCGCCACATCCACCTCCAAACCAGAGTTGTCCTTCAGTTTGCCGTGGTGCTTGAGATAATACCGCTGGTTCTGAAAGAACTTGATGATGGTGTACTTGGGGAGGTCCAGTTGGGCGGACAGAGTCTGGATGGCCTCTTCGTCCGGGTACAGGCCGACGTCTTGTATGAAACTCTGAAGGATTCCCAGGGCTTCCACGGAAATTTTTGTTCGCGGCCGGGTCTTCTGCCGGTTCTCCTCATCTGACTCTGCGGACGAGGCCACGGTGGGTTGCCGCGGGGGGAGCCGGGGGCCGGCCTGTGGCTGCGGCTGCGGCTGTGGAGGTGGCGGTGCCTGCTGCTGCTGCTGCTGCTGCTGCTGTTGCTGCTGCTGCTGCTGCTGCTGCAAAGAGACAAGCAGACAATCAGAGCTCTGCTTTCTCCGGAGCGCCACACAAAGCCGTCTCGAATCAGAACACGTGTGGTTACGGAGCCCACATACAGCTTCTGGGGTAGGGGCACAGATGCAGAGGGAGAAGGCAGGCCAGCTAAAAAGGCCCGCACAGCATTCAGAAAAAAAATAATAATAATAAAATCAAAATGATATGAACCAGGGAGCTATGAATTAACACAGCTTTTGGGGGGCTACTGTGCTTACTTATCAGGGAGGAAGAGAGAACTCAGCGCTCTGGAAACGTGAGCCATAAACTTCACCAAAAGGACACGCATCAAAGGCGAAGACAGCAAATCAAATGATGATGTAAATAATTAACGAAGATTTAAAAGGAAGACTGAGGAGCAAAGATTTCAGAGACATTTCAGAAAGGTGAGCCACAGAGCAGTGGGGAAAGAAATCCGTGTTCTGCTCCCTTTCATCAGATGTCGAAAACATGGAACAGGAATAGAAAATAAGTGTCTGCTCTTACTCAGTTTTCTCTCTCATAGTGCGGAGGATTTTTGAGGTTTTTCCATTTGTGAATTTTCTATCAGACACTTCCAATTTAATACACACATAATTTTTTTTTTTTTTTACCAAACTGCACTAGGCTGACATTGCAAGTTTTTTTCTTACCCAAAAATAAAGGTTCAGTCCGCTATATGATGGCTAGCGAATTGTTTTGTCTACAGCAAACTCAGATGTGATTAGGATTTAAATTTAGTGTATACAGACATTTTTTCATAATTAGTATCTGTATATGTGCTGTAATTTCCCTACACAATTATACATAACAAACGTGTGACACACGCACATACTGTACACTTGATATCCGTAATTCTTACCAACAGAGCAAATCAACCTAAGTGGCAAAATATTAGAACGTTTATGCTGTGCCTAAGCATTTCCTTTTATCCCCCTAAGAAGCAATTTTATTAAAAATAATTTACATTTTCAAACAAGTACTATTTTGTATTAGTTAACATATATCTTTCTCTTTCTTGTTTTTTGCTAAACAGTGAGTTTTTCAGGCTTTCACGATTATTGTAGTGTTTGATATCCTAAAGGGATGCTCTTTGTCAATTTGTTTTATCTTTAATATACACTTGATGGTGTTTTTGTCCTGGTGGATGAATAACTCTATTATTGTTTTTTAGCTATACATATTTTTTTTCATGTTAATATCAAGAAATAATGCAGGTGACTCAACAAACATAGCAGAATTTTAGGACTCCGGAAGGCAATGGCATTTTCCTTTCAAGGAGAAAGCTAAAAACATCCCCTAAGATTTAACAGAAATAAGTTATACAGTTCAAGTTCAATTACAACACATTTCCTAAGCAATCGAGGCCATTAAGAACACCAGATAAACTACCTGATCCCAGAATTTTCCAATCTACATTCATAGGGGAGTTCTTTCAGTAGATGAACAGAGAGACAAGTCCTGTGACATGACAAACCAATTCAAGGCTGAATCTGATGGCCAGTAGTCTTTGGCCACAGCCATGCTTAGCATGTCCTTTACAGTTAGTATTTCCAAGCCTGAAAATCCTGACCCAGGGAGAGCTGGTCTTTACGCCACCCCCTCTGTGTCTCCCTTTGTTGCTGGCATAGGTAACTTGTGCCCGCTCACCTGAGGAGCAGCACCGAGCCATGGTGCGGGGGTCGGCAGGCCTGGTAAGAAAACGCCTCTAGACTCTCCTTTCCCAAGGGTGGTGGGAGAGGGGCTCTAAAGGAAAGACAAACAGACATGACTCACCCCTAACCTGCGTTCCGTGAGGGTGTGGGGAGACAGCTACGAGGTGAAGCAAGGGCCACCAAGGAGTATATAGCAAGATTCCAATTAGGCATCCCTCCCCCTCCACTTTCTGGACAGAAACCAAGGTGTAAAATTGTGATTCTACAAACTTCCTTCATAACAACAGCAGTAATTCTTTTCCGCAGGGGGCAGTATGGTTATTAAATAAAAAATAGGTGGGATTTTAAATTCTGAATTTTAAAAAACACACAAAAATGTTAAAGCTCTCACACATAAAGCCCAATACTAACAAAGACACACCTGCCAAGCAAGAAGTGTAAGTAAAAAGGGGGCTCCAGTCACTCTGGGAACAGGGACATGAGAGGAGAGGAACACAAGGCATATGCTGCAAAAGGTATGTTAATTTTCCTTTTATGCCCCTGAGCAAGATGGCAGTGTATTGTTATCTCTTGCTAAAAAGCCCATGTTTATACTGGCAGGATGAAGAGAAACGCTAATTTCCCTGCTAAGTTTAAAGCTTTATTTACTTATTGCGATACTGAATTGGCCAAGGTAAACGAACCTGAATCTGCTCTGCTGGAACATGGATAATGTGGGGCGGCCTGTCGCCATGGTGATGCACCGCGTTGCTCTCCTGTTCGTAAATGGCATCACGTTCTGGCTGAGGAAGACTGAGGAACCTTCGGATCATGGAGAGGTTCTCCCACAGGGTCCTGTTTTCTGGAGAAGGATCTTCTTTCCAGCGTAACAGCTCGCACAGCCACCCCTTAGAGACAAGGGGATAATGGGTCAGTTCCTGGATATTGATTTGGGGGGGGCTGGCATTTTCCATTAGGAGCTAAAAACGAAAGACCCTATGAATTAACTTTTTCATAAACTCAAAACACTCCAATCTGCTTTAAATAATTTTTTTTTAATCTGTTAAAAGTGGATAGCTGTGGCCGCTGTAGAGGCAGGCTCTGTTTCTAATAAATGTTCCGACTTGCATCTTAAAGGAGGGCCGTATTTTTTCAGGCTCCAGGGCCCAGAGAGCATTTATCATGGACTTTGCAATATATGAAATAGAAGGAAAACAAAGTTGGGTGTGTTTCTAGTCTTACCTAACTTTCTTGTCCGATGAGTGGCCATCTGAGGATATTGAAAGTACGTAAGAAGGAGTAAGGCAGATTTTAGAAATACATTTTTTTCTAAAAGGATTTCCTGAGTTTATAATTTTTGTATCCGGAAGAACACTATGTGTGAATATTTCTCTGTGTGTGCGTACGAAAGAGAAAGGGCAGGTGCAATTGTGCCAGCAAGAACGTTGTCCAGTATAAGACATAATAATTAGAATAGGCATTAGAAGAATTCTCTAGGAGAGAATTCTCCCAAAAAAAAAAAAAAAAAAAAGATTTTGTAGTCCTATTTTTCTGCCTACTGCAGTGTGAGCATATGATGAATCAAACAAGAATTTTAATATGCTTCCTGGATTAAGAGGCAAAGAAATGTCCTCCCCAGGCCCAGTTTTTGATCCAAGTATGATCTATCAAGAACTGAGTGGTCCATCAGAGTACATTCTCCAACCATCATCTCAAACCTTCATCTTGGCTGCCATGGTGGACACTAAGCAATGTGGTAGGGAGGAAGAGTGAGGGTGGCCCACTCAGACTCCCTCAGCCAAGGCAGCCACCTCCTTAGCTGTTCTCTGCTCTGGAAAAATGTCTTGGAGCCATCTTACCTGGAGATGCTTAAAAGGCCACACTACCACCTCACTGACCCCTTCACCCCAGGTGGCCAGTGATTGTCTAACCCAGGGGTACAAAGTCCTTGCCCCCTTTTCTCAAAGTGGACAACTGATTCTACCCTTCAATTCACTCTCTAGAGAAAGTTACTGCCATTCTTCTTGCTCCCTTCCCTCATCAATCTAGGGCCAGACTTCACCTGAAGCCAAGGAAAAGGAACCCTTCCTTTTCCTCACCCCCCCACACTCCTTCCAGGGAGACCTGATTCCCCATGCGAGGCTCTGCTGTTTGGGGTCCTGAACTAAGACAAAAAGGTTTCTCGGAAATTTCAAGAAAACAGGTTGGAAAGGAATGAAAGAATACAGTTTCTTTATTATTTGATCTTAAGAAATCAATAAATAACCAAGAAGGGTTTTGTCATGTCATTGCGAGTAAAACCAGAGGATGCCATGACATTCTTTCCTTTCTCAGACTGAATCATTAGACAGAAAGTTCTTCTTCTGATTGCCATACACAGTGAAAAGAAGCAAGGCCTGTTCTCCCCAAAATGGCCTAGTTGAGATATTTTAAAAGAAAAGATAAAGAACTGATACATTAGCTTCCCAAGACCTACCTACTAACTAGCCAACAGTGACTGTTGCTAAATTGCATGAGATCTACAAATTTTTCTGAGAGTTTTGATTCTCTACTCAATAGGTCTTTTAATTAAACAGATCTATACATGGGATGGTCACATAATCATGCACTCATTTTATGCCACTGAATTCAAGGTTAAGAGAGGAGGCATTAAACTGAAGATTTACCTGAAAGAATATTTGCTTAATAAAATATAATCATCATTGTGACTACTGTGTCACTGAGCATGCTTCTCTTCTAACCACAGCAATTCTATGCTTATTTCTAAAATATTATAATATAGCATATTTCGGCCGTATTATGTGACTATAATATTAACTATAAAACAATACTGAGTATTTGAAGTATTTGAGACCCACTTGCATATGGTGCCCTGGAGATGTTGACTTATCTCTTACCGGTAAGTATTTGCTATCTGGATTAAGCCATGAAAATAGTATACATTTTCCTGCATCTAAGCTATTTCTTTACATTTTACCTTTAAATTTTGCCATTGTAGGTTTTAAATATGTATCTTTCTATATGTTTAAATATTAACTATGGATAAGATTAGTTTCCCTCTGCCCCCTGTCTGCCTCCTTGAGCTGTAACAATTGACAGGACACCTATTCTTCAACAGGGCAAATCACACAATTTTATTTACCTTTCAAGAGAAGCCAGGAGGTTCGTAAAGAACAGAGCAGAAAACATTTTAAACTTAATGAGTATTCTATTACAATAAGTGCTAAACATTTTTTTTTAGAAATAAATGCTTGTAACTAAAAATTGCTAAAAGTTAAATTAAGAATGATTCATGTAAGAAAAGCTTCTTGGAGAGCACTGAAAAACTCCAGTGATTTTTCACATCCTTCAGAAACTTTTTAGAGTAATGTAGAGATCAGTTAGCACTTGGATATATGTGAAAAAACATGTGGATAACAGATGTTCTTTGGAAAAGAAAATCATTAGTTCTTTTAAAATGGCTAATAATGATAGCTAATTCCTAAACAATCACACTCACGCTGGTTTAACAAATATTTCAGAAAGAGCCCTGACTCATTCAACAAATATTTTGCTCATATTGTCACTTCTGTGTCTCTAGACTTATGAGATGGATCTTTATTTTTATTAATTGCCCATGACTAACATAACATTTCCAGTAGTTTGCTATTAACCTCTGCCCTTAAATAATACTTCTAATTCCTTATCTAAAAATAATTTGATGAATTATAAGTTGAAGCATGTCTCCGCTAGCCTTTCAAGCGACATGATGATTTTAAGAGACTGAAATCAGATGCTTCTTAGAAAAATATTTAACGGTGCAGCTGGGAACTGTTAGCTCTACAAGGGTATTCCAAAAAACCAAAAAGGGGGGGAGGCTGCTTTTCTTGATGTGCTTATCTCTTAAGAAATAATGGAAAACAGACATTTTGACATGTTAGTTCTTTGTCAGTGTAGAGATAAATTGGCTCGTTCCCAATTTACACTGGCAAAAATAAGATTAATTTATTCTAATACTATTTAAATACCTTGGAATATTTTGACTACCTCAAATCCTATTGATTGTGACTCTATTAATGATGACAGTAATCTGATCTATGTTTTGCAAAAAGTGACTAAAGAAGTCAAATGCTTTCTAATTCCCCAATACCTCTTTCTAGGTCAGTTTTCCAGAAATGATACTGTTTGAGCAAATAAACTTGGGAAGATAATATGTCAGAATATTTTCAATATTTGACAAATAAAAATAATGATTCCCCAAAGTGCTGTACTGGCTTTTAAATGATAACTTGTAGATTTACTTGCGAGAAGAGAGATGAGGAATGAAATGCAGTGCTCTGTTGCAAAATGTGAACATAATTACGTTTTTAAGAGAGGTCCCTGGGACTTGATATATTATAGGACCATAGGCAGGAATAGGGAACTACTCTCATATTAAATTAGATCACAATCACTTTGAACAGAAGAGGGGACAAACAGCCTTAAAATGACGTGACCAATCCATCCTCAGAAAACTAAAATGGTACAAGGAACAACCTAAACTTTAAATGTAGTAAATTTGCCAAGCAACATTACGCTGCATATAAAAAGGGCAAAATATAAACAGTAGCCACATGTAAATAAATTAGTAAAACTTTCAGGATGTTACTACTTTTCAAACTGACAAAGTTTAATTTGACACCTTCTGTTCTAAACCCTTTGTTTCTATTCAAAATCACGCCTTGAGCTGTTGCTATCAATCACAGTGCACCCCTATTACTTAAAAAAACTGGCATGGACCCTGAATAAGCTGAAAATGCCATGCAGATGAATTCTGAGATAATATGTTCAAACCTGTTATATACAACACAAATCCTGTAAAGTTATGTATTGTAAACCTACATTTATTGAGAACTAAAAGTCTTAAATCCATCTGCCACAAAGGAAATACTGTTATGTACTTTATAGTAACCAAGAACCATCTGCAAATGTCTTGCTACCGTAAGCAAGAAAATGGTGCAAAAGATGCTAAACCTAAGATGCATGAAATAAATAACATTCTTTTGACTGGTTTTGGTTAGGGATCTATTAAAGAAATATAAGATTGGAGGGGGGAAAAAAAGGAAAAGAGAAAACGCAGAACAACTGCCAAACCAGCCCTGCAAAAAAATCAAAACAAACTCAATGACAACACAATGGCAATTTATTATGGTCCATGAAACACATGACTGTATGCTCATTTTAAAGGAAAAATTAGCAGTTCTAAACTCAATATTCTAATGATGTGCTTCACTGACAGAATCTTGTTGTACCACATTTAAATAAAAATCCTGGCACCTTCATCTCTCAGCTGCTAATTTCCAACCAAACTCAATCTCTGATTTCCACTCCACTCTTTTTAGAACAGTTAATTCAAGTCAATTCACTTCTAACATTTTAACAGATAAGGGGTACACAATGATTTTAATTGAGTCAGGAAAGGAACCTCCTTTCACGAATGAATTTATTGTACCCATAAAGTCTCCCACACATAAAAAGAGAATCCTTACAAGCCAGGTCTGTGATAAAGCTGGGGGTACGGAATGGAACTAGTTTTCCAGGAGAAAATAGATTTCAGTATTCTCTGAGAAAAAAAAAGTCATTTAATGCAATATACATATATGTATATATTATCAATATATACATATACATTTTAAAACTAAGCTACAAAAAGAGAAAGAAAATGACAAATAATTCTTGCTGCAACTAAGAAGGAAAAATACATTTTAAAAAAATAGAATGGTAATTTGAGTTCTAAAAAGCAAAACATTTTATAGACTATATTTATTCCCCCTCACCCTCATCTCTTATGTGTTATTTGCAGGAGTATTTTCTTCCAATCTCTGGGGCATATAGCATAATAATATATGATATTAAAAGAAATCAATCTAAATAGGAAAGTATTTGATAC